TGCCCAGATATATCATAGCTATTTACTGACTGTACCAACACTAGGGATGCTTCTCATGTTGCTTAAACCTCACATAACCAATTAGTCAGTATTTTAGCAGCAGGGGACCTCACTACAGAAGGCTCTACAGACACTAGAGACATGTTTACAGTATAAAATACATTAGAAGTCCTGACCAAACAAACCAATGTTTCCCATATATGCCATACATCTGCCCCCCAAAACTTGCAAGACCTACAGAAAGACACTGACTCCCCTTTTGAGGGCTTGCTAATTCAGTAGGAAAATTCCCAACAGAGCAAGAGTATGAGTAAGACAGCTTTGACACTTGTGCCCTTTCTTTTTGCGAAGATGATTATTTGGATTTTAAAAGCTTCTTCAGAAAAATCAGTAGTTATGAATGACTATGCCTGGGTGAATAAGAAGACACTTTTACTTAAAAAAAAAGTGGTAGCTCATCAACTTTTTTTCCCAATGGTGTTACATAAAAACAGCTTTCCAAAAGAAAACTGCCACGGTTAGACATCAAGCTATTAATTCAAGAATGTTTTTATTCATTAATGTTTGAAGTTGCCTTTATTTTTTCTCACTCTGAAAAGGGCAACCGTTTTTATTACAAACTTCTGTATTAGTAGAGACAGAGTGGTAACGTCCTCAATGTGCAAGTTGCCAAACAATTCTTATTAGATGGTGTTTTCAGTTGCTTATGTAAGTGTTGACTTCTAAAAGACAGACTGAAGTTTTCTACTCCAAATTTCTGCTTTAACAACTTCAACCAAAACACTCCATTGCTTCTGAAGAGGCCGGGGAAGATGATACACTGCTTTATCCACAATAAGAAAAATGGTGACCATCTGGTCAAAGAGCTCTAGCACCATCTTGCTTTGAAGTAAGGATCTGAAATTTAGCAGAGCCCCATATGCGAAAATCAGCTGAACTCTGGCCAAGTTATGAATCTTTGAAAATGCTACAAACAGCCACTACCAGAGGCTAAATCAGATTCAGCTTTCAGACTCATCTTCAGGTCATGCTGCTCGCTTTCTTCAATATGCATGAGTCTGCACTCGACAGATTATTTGCTCACTTAAGAAAGACTGTAAGTTTATCAGAGTTAAAAATCACTACTTGGATCAATAGCATGATATTTTGCTTGACAAACTGTTGCTTAATTTGTGTTCCTAAACAGCACAGAACTGAAATACATCTGAATGAATTAATATTTACGTATTTTAAAAGGCTGGAAGAGACTGATTCCTATTTAAATAATAACTTTTAAAAAATATATATTACTTAAAAGGCTGTAAAATATTTGGGTATTTTAGTGCAAAAGAAAAACGGTACACTGGCAAAAAATCTGGTTAATGTGCAACAGCACTATGGTAAAAAAGGTACTAATACTACCAAGAGGTATTGCACTAAAGCCCAAGGTGCTCATTTGCATTCCTCTACATACAAAGTCAGTCAGATATCCTTTGCCTAAGAAACAAGACCAATTTGAGTATGGATGAGTACCCACCTGCTGCAAGTTACTGTTCTTTACATTCACAAGTGCTCAAACTAACGGATAGTTCCTCCAAGTGGCTATTTGATTAAGGTTCTATTCGTTTCTCTGTAGCTTTCTAATTCACAGTAACATCAACATGAAATTACCCCTACCTGCCCATAGCAATATACATTTCTCAATGTTTAATGACTATATTGACAGTTCACGTATCTTAAGACTTGCTCTTTTTTCTGCAACACAAAATCCAAAGTCTTTTCACCCCGTGTGACAGTAATAGCCATTTTTATTTTACAGCCACTTTTTGCCACACGTAACCGAGTCTGGGCCCTGCTGAGCTGACAGGTTATTTGTGGATGCCCACGTGAGGGCACCTGCAGGGTCCATCCCTGACTGCTGTCTGACAGCCAAGGCAAAAGCTGTCAACGTGGAGCAAAGGGCTTGGATTAAAATGTTGTGATTATATAATGCTCAAAAAAAATAATACACGGATTTCTGGACGTAACTAATGGCATCCAGCAGCAAGGCTGGAAGGGAAAGCAAATGCCAGAGAAGTCCTAGTGCTCAATTTTGGTTGTCAATCAGGCAAACAGCAAGCTGCAGACGCAAATACAGGTGTTTTTCAGACTGTTGTCCTTGTTACTCTTATCTCTGACTCCAAAAAAAAATATGGAGCTTTGCTTCAGACAGACCTGCCACCTCCAAGAGCCACAGGACTTGTTCCAGTTCTTCTCTTTACACAGGTGGGGTTGCTCTAAGGCAACAGGCTGGGAGGAGATGAAAGGTGTCTGCGCTTCTCAGTGGCATTACGGAGCCACAGCGCGCTGAAACAAACAGCCTGCAGAGATTCCCCAAGTTTCCCAGGCTTGTGAGCCAAGACTCGCTGGCAGCTGGGTTAGTGCTGTGTTTTGGATTTGGGATGAGAATGGTGTTGACAGCACACTGGTGTTTTGGTTGTTGCTAAGCTCTCAAGGCCTTTTCTGTTCCTCACACCGCCCCGCCAGTGAGTAGGGTGGGGGGGCACAAAACGTTGGTAGGAGACACAGCTGGGAGAGCTGAGCCAAACTGACCAAAGGGATATTCCATGCCATGTGACGTCCTGCTCAGCGTATAAAGCTGGGGAAGAAGAGAGAAGCTGAGAAAGTTTGGAGTTATGGTGTTTTGTCTTCCCAAATAACCATTACACGTGATGGAGCCCTGCGTTCCTGGAGATGGCTGAACTCCTACCTGCCCTTGGGAAGCAGTGAATGAATTCCTTGTCTTGCTTTGCTTGTGTGCGTGGCTTTTGCTTTACCTATTAAACTCACCCACAAGGTTTTTTTCTCTCTTTTACTCTTCCAATTCTCTTCCCCATCCCAACTAGGAAGCGTGATTGAGCGACTGCGTGGGGCTTAGTTGCTGGCTGGTGTTAAACCATGACAACATGTTACAGATTTCCTGTTCATTCATGCTCCTGTGCAGCAGCCCTCAGTGGGGATTTTGCTGGTTACCCTGTAATCTAGCTGTCACATCCCAAAAGACATAAAATGTTTATGTGTTACTCAAGAAATGTGAAATTGTGCATTTATGACTTCACACTTTCCAGAAATAAAGTATTCTATCTGCAATGAAATCAGATTTTCTAATTTCCCATTTGCATCAAAAAAGAACAGATCTTCAATATTTCAGTCTAAATTAATATCGGTTCAGCTGTTTCCTTTTGCCCTTATATCCTCTGAGATTTAGCTTCTCAAGAGTAAGACACGCACGTGTCCAGCAAGAAACTTAACTTATATGATTAACACCATGTTTTAAATGAAAATTTGCCCTACTAAAAACTGCTACCTGTAGAGTAACATGTTCATTTTTTGCCATGCCCAGGATGAACTGTACATTACTAACTTCGCAGAACATGCACATGCTTTCTCTAATGAGCACTGGAAAAAAAACCCACAAACCCAAGTTCACTAGACCGAATAGCCTGCATTTCTGGTGTGAGACGGGAAGGGCTGTTAACAAAGCAAAACTGCACCAAATGTAACAGAAATTAAATCTACTGTAATTTTTCATTTCATGACTATTTCAATCTTTTACTGTGCTTTTCTCCCAAATATCTCAGAATTTTTTGTACATGCTTAATATTTCTCTCTAGAGGCACAGAGAAAACGTTTATTCTTCTTACATGTCTCACCAAGCAAACTTTCTTGAACACAGAAAACATCATCGAGAAACTTTTTCAGGTACTTTTTAGGTGCTTCAGAATTATTCTTTGCTATTGCTATTTATGGACCATTCCAGACTTGGTATTCCACTTGAGGCAGACAGAGCACACGTGATGGTGATGCGCTGGAATCAGCACAGGGATTATAAAACTACTTCATCATTTCATATACTTCACTATTAAGGCCTGCACTCCTGTTTTGCATGCTTGATGAACGAAGACATTTTGGCACACAGAATGATGGCTCTTACTACTCTTTGAAAGTTGATGTTGGGCTTTTACATTATTAGCTAGTAATATTAAAATTGCATACAGTGGGATGAGTAATTTCTCTGCTATACAAAGGATTTAAACTTTTTCATCTGTCCATTTTTGACATTTTTTCAATTCTTTGTGTATGTTGATGACACAGGAAAGAAATATTGATTTGAGTTTTCAATATTACATGAAAAAAGCAGATGCTCATTTCACTTAAGAAAAAGCATTGTTTAAAAAAAGAAACATTTTTTGTTTGTTTTAAACTATTTAACAACTTAAATCCTTATTCTGTAACATTATCTGTTGTCTTAAACAAACTAAAGCCATTTCAAGTGCGTAACACAAACGTGGCACCTCCTGACCAACAAATACACAATACACACTTGGGAAGTGTTTTGATTCTGTTATTATTGAAAGAGCAATCAGCATTACCTGATATGCACAGCTGCGGAATTGGACCTGAGCTATGATGCTGTCATCAGATATGTTTAAGTAATTAACAGTATTTGTGGTTTCCTCTTGAAGCCAGTTGAGCTCTATATGGATTAGGACCACATCCCTATAGACCAGATTTCCTGAATAATCTCAGTAAAAATCAGCTAGTTTAAATTTATAAAAGTCTGCTATGACCACCACTATTTTTTTTGTTGTTATTTATTCTTCAAATGCTTTCAGTGAGAAAACACAACTTGTCTGTAAAATTCTATGAATGAGTTCCTGATTATAACAGTGTTTCATTATTAAGTTCCTAAGTATACTTAGGTATTTAATGTACTGGAATTCATTTAAAGTTACATTTGTGTGGGATATTCAACTGCCCACATTACTGTGTGGACCCAAATGTATTTTAGTGCTGACAGAAGAAAATGCATCATATAGCTGTATTCTAACTCCTAATTAACAAAGAGACAAAGAAAAATTTAGTTCTTTAACATAAAATTTTAAAATTACCAAGGAAGGACTAATATTAAAGAAGTATCAAGACATAGATATACTAGGAATTTAAACTGTCAACAAGTTTTCTGTGAAATATGTGATTACCTCTAATGTGAAGGACAGGACCACATCAGACTTCGACAGTTGAACCTCGTTTTCATCTCCTATGTCCAAGAACGCAGAATTCTGTGATCGCTTCAACTTCTGCAGTTTAAATTCTGGCCCACCTTTAGACACTGGAAGACTTTCCAAATTTGCCATCAGCAAATTCACCGAAGACCGCAGCTCCTCTATGTACATGTTCTCCATTTCTCTTGTTACGAATTTGGGGAATTTTCTTTCCTTAGAAGGTATATTTTAAAAGTTAAGGAGGAAAAAAAACATCATCCCCCATTATACATCATCGTAATTTACTGATTTGCTCTCAGCCAAGAAATATATAATAAAAATAAAAGCGTTAATTCCAGTGTCTATCTATCTTCATATCTTTAAAACAGTAATGGGAAGACTAATCCCCTCTCGTAATACAGTTAATTTTGAGAAGAAGGAATGTAATTTGAATTGAGAATTCCATCATATTCCTCAAATACAGCAGACAACATATCTATTTGAACACATCAAAAATAACATAAGGGACATTTGTAAAAACAGAACCTCTTACCCACCCAGAATCATTTAACCATAAACCCAGGTGGAATATGTACACAGATATTTCTAAAACGTGTATTTGTGTATCAATGGACAATATACCTCTAATGTTACCTTCAAATATTTTATAAATTGACAAAATGAACTGTCTACTAATAGGGAAATGTGATTGCAACATACTGGAATATATCCTGGAACAAAGTCCACGGGGACTGATCACGCTGATGTACACATCACCCTTTAGGTTTGGATTCTGAGAGTGCTAAAATGGATTTTCAGGATGCATTTATCACGAGAAAAGACACTGGGTAGTCTCTTCACAGGATCACAGAAAAGTTTATCTTAGAAAAGCCTAGCACCAGGCTAGGATTTAGGTAGAAAACCCATTAGGTCATACACACTTTGATTTCAACTACTTTAAATTTGGTCACATGAAGAAAGATGGGCAAATATATGCACAAATTCCCCATTGATTTTATTCTGTCATAGATGAACATATTTCTAAAGTTCTTGCCTCCATTAATAAGGCTAAATTATCTTTTCTGCTAAAACAAACTTCTCATTTATAATTAACAACCTGTAAAATCAGCAAGTAATGTGTTATAGGAACCAGGAAGGAGACCTCAAAAGCAACTAAAAAGCTAAATGCAGAGATTTATCCTGAGCTGTGCTGATCTTTTGAGTCTGCAGTTTAATAATTCTCTCACAGGCAGGTAATCACTGAAAACCCTTTTCTTTACCAACAAAGAGGCTAGAATACATAATTCAGTATCAAAAAGCTTTTTACCTTGTTTTTGAGCTCTGAGAATAAAATTAATATTTCTCAGCATTTGATTGCTTAGGCTTAAATGATCTTAATAATTCTCAGAGCTGCTAGAATTAGGACTAGCTGCTAGAATTAGGCTCCTCACAAAAAATTCTGCATTTTAAGTACTTTAAAAGAACTGTATGTATGAAAACTCTGATTTCTGACTTGGATGTAGCATGTTAAGACATGGAGTTGCTTATTCTGTGCAAAACTGTGCAGTAGACACTGTGGCAACCATGAAAATTTTCAAGCAATGGTTCTGGTAGGAAAAAAAAAAGATTTTTTCTTTAAAAAATCTACTGATGTGCAGTGTATGCATATACATTAGAGATGGAATGAACAAACAGTTTAAATAATGCTCATAATTTTCACTTGCTTTAAAATTATTTTAAAAATTTTATGGGCAGCATTTGCTTTTTAGGAAGATTACACCTCCAAGTTGTTATTTATGAACTTCATAGACCTAAATTATAGTTTTTTCTTTTTAAAGAAACAAGCAAATTTTAACTGCTTTACAAGTAATATCATATTAATATAATATGCATTTTTCTGTGCACACACAGAGTATAGCACACATGCTTCCAATATACTTTAACTCTTGGAGCTAAAGGCAAGAAGGCCACAGAGGAAACATAGGATTATTGGACAACTTTGATCAGAGCTGCCAAGCTTTTATATTTTCAGATGATCTTCTGCTTCATTTTAGAATCAGAAACCAGAAACACACACTATGTATTGTCCCACTCACTATCTTACATGTTTTTGGTACATGAAAGCGACAACTTACTCTTGCCATTTGTTCTGCCAACTGCAGTCGCCCATCGAGTTCACGTCTGATCTGGGCTGCTTGCTCATCTCCGTTATCCAACTTGGACGCAGAACAAAAATTAAGTTAATGGTGAGAAACATGCACTATATTTCAACTTTATAGCAAGTAATGTAGTCAAAAACAAAACAGAAACTGCTCACATCAAGGCATATCCAATTTTTGAGCCTCCAGTATTTTTACCCCGAGGGAATAGTCATAGCTAAACATCTGACTTCAATCAGGGAAGTAAAGGGGAAGGACACATCTCTTCACCTCAACACAACAGCGGTGTTGATGGTGGTGGGGGTGCAGATGAAATGGGGCTTCTCCTCAATGCACTGACCTGCACGGCTGGTTAAGAGGAAGAAGTGGGAAACATCTGGAAAAGATCAGGCACAACTTGCCTTTTTACCTGAATAAATGCCAAACAAGGACAGAGTCCCCGTGGAGGGCTCTCTCTGTCCCTGGGGCGAACCACAGGCATGACAGGACATGCTGATACAACCCTGGTGCATTCAGTATGTGGCTAAGGTTTAAGGGTACCTCAATTACTCTTCACTGAAAATTGATTAGGGATGTAAACTCACATAAATTGGTTCTCTAATTAATCAACATCTTCAGCTAAAGAACACATAATTAGTTTGGTAACGATTGATTACATTGAACTAAGCTTTTTAAGTAAGACCACTATTCAGCGCATCAGGGCAAATACATTACAACATCTCCTTTGCAACGCTCCCCAGCTCATGAAAATTAAACATTTTTCTTTTCAAATTCCAATTTTTTTAAAAAAATATTTAAAAATACGCTATTCAGTGCTTACAGGTCAGTTACAGCATTGTGTGTAATGCAAATCTGCAAACCACATTTAGCTACAGAATGAAAAGTTTTCCACTGCTAGTACGGAAGCGATGACAGAAGATGCAATCTGTCACCTGTGCAATCTGGCGTCTCACAAGATCCTTGCAGGAGCTGATCCAGACTACCAGAAAGCAAGAGAAGAAAACCTGATGGTGCCCCTAAAAGAGGCTCAAATTTAAGCTAGAGAGCAGAAGATGGATCACAGCAGAAGGGTCCTCCTGCTAAGTATGCCTGTAAATCTTCTCCAAGTTTGACTGTGAGCATAAATGACACGAGCGTTCTTGATGAAAGCAAATATTTTAGGCTTTCAGAACACAACTGCAGTATTTCAAAGAAATTCCCAAATTTGTATTCTCCAATTTCTTAACACAGTAAGATGCTGCTTATTGAACTTGTCATCAATGATATTTCTAACTTCTATTTTCCTTTTTATCACAACCACATGATTTTTGCAATTATTTTGTTTAATCAGTACAAAATTCAGTCTAATATGAAAAACAGATTTTTTTTTCCTTTTTGGGTTAAGAGAAAGTCAACAGTATTTTAATAATATATCCCATGACAGCCAATTGTTTGAAAAGTATCTGCGTGAAGGTAATTTTGATGACTGAATTTTGATTTCTACAAAAAGGAGGGCATGGGAAAGCAGAACAAAGCTAAAACTTTTTCCTGTGTCAAGTCACAACTTAAATGACTGCCTCTATTATTAACTGATTTGTAGAGGCAAAAGCTTTTGTTTAAAGACTGATATTTAATTATTTTTCCACTTAGGAAACACTGCTTTACTTATAGAAAAGAGGCTAGGCAAGAATGACTGGTAGGTCATTCACAGCCGTCCTAATAAGAAGCGAAGTTGTTGATATTAGTATTGTTGCAGTATGCAAAATGAAGCGGGGACAATGAGAAAAAACAGTAACTTTGATATCACATTCCGTGCAAGGTCATTCTACTTGTTTTTATTCTAAATTCAACAAAATGCACGAAAACCAAGTTTGCAAGCAAAGCACTCAGCAATTATGAATGTGTAATCAATAACACATTATAGATCTACTGAATCTGAAGTGACATCAGCAGTAAGACTGAGTAGATTCTGAAAATGCAAGTGGCATTTGGAATTTGTGAGTTGTGTCCACTTTTTACATAGGGAAGACATTTGATACAACCCACTGGAAGGGTAGGATTCAGCCACAAAGGTTAACATTAAGTGTAGTGTATCCTTATCCCTAATTCCTTATTCATGGATCAACCCCGTACCGAAGACATCTGTGCAATACACAGTTATGACAACCATTGCAGTAATTTTCAAACTGTTAAACAAAAACCAGAAAAGCATATGACACTATGCACAGAAATTAATATAAATACGATATTGCAGAATAGCAACTCAGATTCTTCTCAGTATTGCAACTGAAATTTAGTTACAAAAGAATAACTAATTGGTAAATACTTAAAATTCAAGCAAAGGGGTTTTGTTGTTTGGGCTTTTTTGAAGGATAATTCATATTTACATAGCATCACATAATGCTTCCCACCTTTAAATACGAAGGCATGTTTTTTAAAAAAGTTATAGCCTTAGAGATTATTTTAAAAGAAGGTACATATAAATTCAATTTAATAAAAACATCGCAGCTTTCTGCAACGGCAGTATTATCTATACTATAGCTATAAATCACAGAATCACCCTGGTTGGAAGGGACCTCTGAGATCATCAAGTCCAACCTCAAAAAAAAAAAATCAACAAAAAACCTCCCAACAAACCATACACACACAAAAAAAAACCCCAACAACAAAACAAAAACAACAAAACAAAAACCACAACACCCCACCACATCACACCCACCCACAAACCAATAATCTTGGGCACTAGAGCATACCCTGAAGAGCCATGTCTACACTTTTCTTAAATACCTCCAGGGATGGTGACTCCACCACCTCCCTGGGCAGGCTGTTCCAGTGCCTGGCCACTCTCTCAGTAAAGTAATTCTTCCTAATATCTGATCTAAACCTCCCCTGCCGCAACTTTAGACCATTTCCTCTGGTCCTGTCATTATTCCCTTGGGAGAAGAGGCCAACACCCACCTCTCTACAACCTCCTTTCAGGTAGTTGTAGAGGGCAATGAGGTCCCCCTCAGCCTCCTCTTCTCCAAACTAAACATGCCCAGATATATCATAGCTATTTACTGACTGTACCAACACTAGGGATGCTTCTCATGTTGCTTAAACCTCACATAACCAATTAGTCAGTATTTTAGCAGCAGGGGACCTCACTACAGAAGGCTCTACAGACACTAGAGACATGTTTACAGTATAAAATACATTAGAAGTCCTGACCAAACAAACCAATGTTTCCCATATATGCCATACATCTGCCCCCCAAAACTTGCAAGACCTACAGAAAGACACTGACTCCCCTTTTGAGGGCTTGCTAATTCAGTAGGAAAATTCCCAACAGAGCAAGAGTATGAGTAAGACAGCTTTGACACTTGTGCCCTTTCTTTTTGCGAAGATGATTATTTGGATTTTAAAAGCTTCTTCAGAAAAATCAGTAGTTATGAATGACTATGCCTGGGTGAATAAGAAGACACTTTTACTTAAAAAAAAAGTGGTAGCTCATCAACTTTTTTTCCCAATGGTGTTACATAAAAACAGCTTTCCAAAAGAAAACTGCCACGGTTAGACATCAAGCTATTAATTCAAGAATGTTTTTATTCATTAATGTTTGAAGTTGCCTTTATTTTTTCTCACTCTGAAAAGGGCAACCGTTTTTATTACAAACTTCTGTATTAGTAGAGACAGAGTGGTAACGTCCTCAATGTGCAAGTTGCCAAACAATTCTTATTAGATGGTGTTTTCAGTTGCTTATGTAAGTGTTGACTTCTAAAAGACAGACTGAAGTTTTCTACTCCAAATTTCTGCTTTAACAACTTCAACCAAAACACTCCATTGCTTCTGAAGAGGCCGGGGAAGATGATACACTGCTTTATCCACAATAAGAAAAATGGTGACCATCTGGTCAAAGAGCTCTAGCACCATCTTGCTTTGAAGTAAGGATCTGAAATTTAGCAGAGCCCCATATGCGAAAATCAGCTGAACTCTGGCCAAGTTATGAATCTTTGAAAATGCTACAAACAGCCACTACCAGAGGCTAAATCAGATTCAGCTTTCAGACTCATCTTCAGGTCATGCTGCTCGCTTTCTTCAATATGCATGAGTCTGCACTCGACAGATTATTTGCTCACTTAAGAAAGACTGTAAGTTTATCAGAGTTAAAAATCACTACTTGGATCAATAGCATGATATTTTGCTTGACAAACTGTTGCTTAATTTGTGTTCCTAAACAGCACAGAACTGAAATACATCTGAATGAATTAATATTTACGTATTTTAAAAGGCTGGAAGAGACTGATTCCTATTTAAATAATAACTTTTTAAAAATATATATTACTTAAAAGGCTGTAAAATATTTGGGTATTTTAGTGCAAAAGAAAAACGGTACACTGGCAAAAAATCTGGTTAATGTGCAACGGCACTATGGTAAAAAAGGTACTAATACTACCAAGAGGTATTGCACTAAAGCCCAAGGTGCTCATTTGCATTCCTCTACATACAAAGTCAGTCAGATATCCTTTGCCTAAGAAACAAGACCAATTTGAGTATGGATGAGTACCCACCTGCTGCAAGTTACTGTTCTTTACATTCACAAGTGCTCAAACTAACGGATAGTTCCTCCAAGTGGCTATTTGATTAAGGTTCTATTCGTTTCTCTGTAGCTTTCTAATTCACAGTAACATCAACATGAAATTACCCCTACCTGCCCATAGCAATATACATTTCTCAATGTTTAATGACTATATTGACAGTTCACGTATCTTAAGACTTGCTCTTTTTTCTGCAACACAAAATCCAAAGTCTTTTCACCCCGTGTGACAGTAATAGCCATTTTTATTTTACAGCCACTTTTTGCCACACGTAACCGAGTCTGGGCCCTGCTGAGCTGACAGGTTATTTGTGGATGCCCACGTGAGGGCACCTGCAGGGTCCATCCCTGACTGCTGTCTGACAGCCAAGGCAAAAGCTGTCAACGTGGAGCAAAGGGCTTGGATTAAAATGTTGTGATTATATAATGCTCAAAAAAAATAATACACGGATTTCTGGACGTAACTAATGGCATCCAGCAGCAAGGCTGGAAGGGAAAGCAA